TTCTATATCCAAGCTCTAAATTAGTAGACTTGTCCAGGCTCATCATGTGTTTGAACACCTCCTTGTGTACCTGTTCACATCCAGATGCCCAGTCATATGTACTGACACAATCATATGAACTCAGAGTGGCAACTCGTTTGGACAGCGTACCAAATCGCTGATCCTCTCTGCAACCCCAAAGAAGTCTGGACAGATCTGTTGTAGGGTGTATGTACTTTTGACTAAAGGTACTTAGCTCTTTGTGATTACAAAAACAATCATCCTCATAACAAGGAGTGAGTCTAAAACAACAGAGAGCTGAGAGAAGTGAAGTGACAATGGTGAGGTATTCACATTTTAAGTGAGAGATGACAGAAAATGTTAAAAAGCAATGTTAATGGAAAAGAGGAAAAGAATAGAACTCTCCTCTAAACATCATACCTTGCTATGCTTAGAATTTTTGCTTCAAAGAGAGAAATCATGGGATCTGAATTTGGGAAAGGAAAGTTAACAATATCTATTTTTCATATAATCAAATGCTAAACATTGGTACATATCAAATATTTCTAAGGAATGAAGTCATCCCTAAAAAAGTTTCCCAACACAACATTCATGCAACAACAGATGTAATTTAATACCCAAAGTATGCATCATTCAAATGCAACTTTAAATACTTTATGATAATACAACATTCTTCACATTCCTTGCTAAGTTAGAAAAGTAAGATACAGAGGCAAAGCAACTTACCCGTAGCATGCTGTAAGTCCACGCCAGAAGGGAAAAGAAGATGCAGATCCTTATTCCTGTTATTAGACAGAAGGCATATTTTTGATGCCTAATACACCAGAAGAACAACTGTAGGCTAGGACTAAGTTAAGATCCTTTGGGCAGTAAGCTCCCTCTGATTTTTCATTAGGCAAAGATATTAAGCATTCATCACTATGCATTTCAATAGCTTGTCTTTTATAAAGACATTGTTTCTGTATAGCAGTGTAGTTACACATTTCTGTATAATAATAACAACAGAAGAAAGTTACAAATACACATTTAGTAGAGATGATACAATGCTTTTTCTGTTTTTCTCATGTTCTGTCATCTGTTAATGGCTTTTTTTTTTTTTTAATACTAGCAGATAGAGTGTTTCTAAAACCAACAATATCTGGTACTTTAAACATGTTTTTCCTCCTAAAAAAGTCTGAAAAATCAAGGTTTTCTACTATATTCTTCAGACAGCTAGCTGCAAAGCTAAGAGATCAGATTCTTCTTTAATCCCTCAGTTCTTCATTAACATACATAAACATTCTCACTCTATTCCTTCCTTTTTCCTGTGACTTTGCGTATTTATTTGTGTTACAATTCTGCATATTTCACCATTTCCTCATGGAAGGAATAAAGCACACATAAATACTTCAAAGCACAGCCTTGGAACATGTTATATAAAATGCTTTTTAAGTTACGTTGTTCACGTTTACTTTGCATTCGTGGTTGCTTTTCATGCTACACAGCTTGATTTACAGGTCAAATGAAATAACTGTGAGACTGCATTGCCAAGTCAGGGTGGAATTACAGAAAAGAAACAAAGCAACTTCGAACAGCAACAATGAACATGCCCTTTATCAGCTCTTAGGTCTTGTTAGAAAAGAGACAGTTTATGCAATATTTGAAAGGAAGGAACACAAATGCATCATAAATAAAAATACTGCATTAACTTGTACTGAATAAAGGCATGCTTCTATGCAGGGGTGACAGCTTGGCTTCTTACATATAGGAATCACAGCAAAAACAAAAAACCACAGGAGCTATATACATATGCAGGTTTAAAAAAGATTATTGAAGACCAATCCTAATAAGTTCCCTTTTAATTCAAAGGTCATTGCACTGGAAGAGAGAAGTACAGATCATCATTACTACTACATGGTTTGTTTTCATACCCAAAAAACATTGTCGGAGTTACGAGGGCGTGGGAGATAGCTTAGGATGGATGGAAGAGAAGGATCTGTTTTGCACTATGCCAGTCAGATACCAAGTTCCATTTACAAAGTTCCACTCGCCTCTGTTGTTACTAACCCAGAAATCGTACCATAAGCTGCAGAACTTTCCAAGTAGGAAAGGAAAAACCCTCTAAAAGAGATTAAGTTTGTTATTTGCTAGTTATTTCTCTATTAAGAGTGAGCCTTGGTACCATATTAAATGTGGCCACAATGACAGAGGCAGCCCATATCACTCAAAGCATGTAAACTTGTGGCTTACAAGGTCGGCCTAATCTACCGATCAAACTCTGGGTAGAAATTAAGATTAACTGATGAAATCCCACATGATATGAGTCAGGGATTATCAATCTCATATGGTAGGTCCACCAGTGCATTCAATAGTTACCTAAAACCTAGATACTCTATTGTAACAGAGACAGGGAAGGAATAGGGTGTTTTTGATGCTGTCACGTTTCTGGAATTGGATTTTCCCTTCTTCCTCAATTTGTTTCTTCTTTTTTTTTTTTAAACTATTCAGAAAGCAAACATCTAATAAGCATGTGTTTGAGATGGTTTCACAGAGGACTGAAGTTTGATGGAATGAAAAGTATTGTATATACATCTAACTGGTTGAGATGCATTAAAATGATTCAATGAAAATTCTTGTGACTTAGTTGTATTAACAAGTTTGGGTGCCTAAAGTCTTGGAACTTTGTAGTTACAAATCTAGATACACACTAAGTAGATAACATGCTTATAAAGCACAGAGAGATTCTTACAGGACAGAATTCTAAAGGACACAGCACAACACACACATATTGCTGTTAACTTCCTCAGAAGCAGCATGAACTTCCTGGGGTTGACTCAAATTCAGGCATATTTAGATGGAGTAATTTGTTACTATTCCAAGATGTCCCATCCTTCTTCTGAAGGTTGTTGTCCCCTGAAGCAGGTATGGCTGAACCATGCACAAAGGAGTTCCTGAACTGCCAGTCCATACTAAGCTTTTATGAACATCTGCACCAGTTAACTGTAGCACAGCAGCTGGAAGTTGACCGTAAATTATGGCAGTACATGAGCTGTTCCACATGGAAGTTACCCACTCTTGCTGCAAAAACAGCACTCTTCTGATGGGGGGTAGAACACACACTTCGAGGCAGCAACTGGCTTAGCCATTTGTCTTTAATTCATTGCATGCAAATCAACATATTCAGTGAGTCACAGCAATGACATGACTTACAAACAAGCTGGCAGAAAAATATACATCTTTGTCAATTATAAAACTCCTCTTTTATTATGTCTTGAATACAGTGAATTGCATTCCAGGAAAGCAAATGACATATGCATGACAGATCAACATAGAAAAGTCATTAATCAGGTCATCACAGCTGAACCATCTCCTTAAAATGTTTTCCTGACTAAGCAGCCCTCAGATTGATGGGAGCAGGTAGGATGAGTGTTTCCAAGTAGGTAACAGGCAGGAGACAGAAACTATATTTTAAAGGAAGGAGCTGCTCTGAGTAGATAGCAGGACTGACCAGCCTGCAAGACAACAAGGCTTCAGAAGCATGGAGAGGCTGCACAGCCTGAAAACGCAAAAAAAGTGAAGTTGGAAGGGATGCAATGTCTAAATACTGTAACACCTGAGTATTTTATAGCTTCTGTGGTTACACAAATTCTAACATCAACATTTGTTCCTTACTTTTCAATTGCATTTTTCTTGAACAGGAGACTTAAAAGCCCTTAGCTCACACCACCAGCAAAGAGAAGACTCCTGAATTCCTAACGCCTACTTTAAGTCTGGAAGCATGCTCAAGAGAACCAGAGAAACTTGCTATGCTCTGCCCACAGAAACAAATGACCAGTCTAAACCAAAACAAACAACTGAGTGATGAGATGAGTATTAGTGTAGGTTGCTGTGAACTTAGGATTACATAGATCCATTGACGATCAGTCTATAGAGACACTATGTAAACGGAATTGTTTTGAATGAGTAAAATCTCTGAACACCAAATACTATACAGGAAAAAAAAGGCTGTAAATGAGAGCTGTGACAGATTGCAATCTAACACAATGCACTGAAATATTCTGATGCTTATGCACATTTGCAAAATCTGACATGTGCATTACTATCTTATTTCACAAAAAGTCTCTGATATCATTTAACATACCTGCACAAGTCTATTTCCTTTTAAGGTTCTTTTAAAGGTCCTTTATAAAAATAACAGAATCTATGCTACAGTATTGTGACATTCTTAAATCCTCCGAGGAATAAATAAGAATCTCTTTTTGGCAATACAGAAACCTCATCCTTTCTACCTGGCTTTACTGTTTTAACATTTCCATTAAATCCACTCATTTTATCAGTGATCATAATCTAATATTTATATACCCCAAATAAAAATGTAACTAATCCTATTAATCTACAATTAACATTTTCATATCAAAGCATCTCAGCAGTTACACACATACCAACACATACACTAATAAAATCACAGAAAGTGATTCATAGCACAAAGCACCACTTTAACTGCAGTATTCCACAGTAGGCTGGTACTAACATGGAATGCGGGAGTCAGCTGTTGCAGAGCATAAAACACTAAAAAGAGATTTCTATGGTAGAAATAATTTTTAATTCTTTACGGAGACAAAACAGATGAAGGAACAGAAAAGATAATATCTCACGTATCAAAGTATATCCAATCATTCCCATCAGCTGACACTCAGGAGATGCAAATGGCTCCCGAATAAACTCAGATCAAGTATCTGAATTTTGCAGTTTGAATCCATTTTCATTAAATATTACATATATTAAACACCTGAGATTAATTCCTAACCCTCTGAAAGACAACAGTAAACACCTACAAAATACTAATAAGCTGTCATTGCAGAGTTCCTAATCAAAAAAAGAAAGGGTATTTCATAAATCAACTGGAAAAATATATGCCTCATTACTGCAGTTAGCTTAAACTGGATTTTCTTATATGGTACTTGCAAACATATTTTTAATCTTTCTAGGACAGGAAACATGTAAGAACTTAACAGAATTGCTTAGAAGACTGGCAGTGTCTGGTTATACAAACATAACCAGGCTTTATCAGCAACAAGATACGACGTGTTTGCATGTCTGATGAATTCTGAATCATCAACTCTTTCTCTACTGCCAACATAAAAAGCAAAGAGTCAAAATAATTATTAGCAAACTTCTTTTGGCAAACACATTAATTCCAAGCTTTGTTTTCTGCACTAAGGTTATTTCTTGGACTTCCTACGCAAAACTGGCATAAAGAATTCTCCTTCTAGTATCACAGCCATCTGTCCCATCTGTTAGGCATAACGAGCACCAGCAAAGAAGTCTCAAACCACTGCCAGAAAAGACATCTTGGACATACCACCAACTGACTGAAGAAATTATTAGTATGATGCAGTAGAATATAAGAGAAACAAAAGTTATGATTCCTGTATAACTATTAATTATATTAGAAATACATTACACTTTTAAAATTTGTATTAGCTATATTGAAAAATATTCTCTACTTATGTTTAAACTTTGGAGAGTTCAGGGCTTGATTTGAGTCCTGCAAAGTCTGCAAGTGGAATAAGTCAGCAGCACTTATCATCTGTAACTTCATCTCTTGCCAGAAGTTCAGAGACAACAAAGAATACATCTTCTCTCTTTCTGCTTGAAGGTGGAAGCTTTAAGCACACTCTGAAAAGAAGTAGGCTAGTGGAACCACTCCAAACCTCTTCAGCATCTTTTCTTCATCTAAAATTTAATCCTACAAGTGAAGCACATGAATAGTTTTTTAAATACAATTCAAAATATATAAACTGCATAGGCTCACCATCATCCCTGACAAAATGGTAATGGGAACCCCCTCCCCCCCCCCAACCTTAATTAACTTCCAATTGTCCTTACTTACATGTTTAATCGTGCTACAATGCTATGTACTTTCTGAAGTACATTAACAGGAATGTCTTCCTATACACTTTACAAGCAATACAGTTTACTTGGAAGGTTGAAAGATGACTGTGGAACACTAGCCTCTGCCTATACATGCCTGCAACAACTTTCTTGCTACTACAGCATGGTTATATATCTGTTTCCTCTCCAAGCATCTCTCTTTAGCGATTAGCCCTTATATGCTGAATTCTGCACATACTTGATCAGGCTCCAGTTTCCATTCTCCATGAAGCAAACATTCTTAACCAGCAGGTCTGACTGGATTTTTTTTTCTTCTCTTTGAAAGACTGGGCAATGTTTGTAAACCAAAATACAAACTACAGCTATAGAAACAAGGATTTAAAAAAAAGTCTCACTATATATCTGCCTTACCCAATTCCTTGACGAATATCTTGGCAGGCCTAAGTTCTCTAGTCAACTCTCTCTGTAGTTGTCTGCATGTCCACTTTTTCCCCTCAAACAGCTCTGTGACAAATGCTTCTGTCTTGTTTAACCCTGAGAAAGCAATTTCTCTTTTCCTGTAATTTTCACTTTGCCAATTTAAAAGCAGCATGTTGGCTTTGTGAGAGATTTAGTCTGTCCAGCTGCCTCTTCCACAACTTCGTAACAATAGTCCAGTGTTTGCTGAGGCTCTCTTTACTATTAGTGGGGTCTCTTTTCAGTCAGCCTTATCATCTAACGGATAAATCATGCAGCCCATGTAGCAATTGTTATTACAGCCATTACATCTGGTCCTAACCCTCTAATGTGCTTAGCAGTTTGCTCTTAGAAAGAGTTAAACCATTAGTAACTACAAATACATATCTGCCTTTCTCCTTTCACCCCAAACATAGTTCTTGTTGAACTGTTCTTTGTGTATATTAGGTTTTCCTGTGGACCAGCTCAGCTAAGAACTAAAATCATTACAAGTGTTTTCAACTTTGGAAAAAGTCACTGCTGAAAATTAATACATTTTACATTAGGCTTATAAAACATTATCCTTCTACTGAAATATGTGAACCACATGTAAACTATGATCTATTTGTGGTGACACTTTACCTGAGCACTTTTTTTAAAGCCTGAATTGTCCTTTTGGTTTATATTCCATTTTTGTAGTAATAACCTGTTTGAAAGAAAAACAAAACCCAAAGAATTACAGCAGCTTTTCATAGAGGCTTATAGTAGCTTTGTATCTTTGTTTAGCCATGACCTTGTGTGACAGAAAATATTTTCACTGAGGAGCTATAATGGTTTTAAAGCTCTTTGCAAGTACTTTTGCCTACCATTACTATTGAAATGGCACTTTCTGGTTCTGGATTGGCAGTTAGGAAGCGTAACAATAAAGAAACATAAGGATCAACACAATTTAAGTATCCTCCACTCCCTAGGCAGGTATCAAATCTAGCTCTGAATGATACCAGAAGCAGCAGGGAATGGTGTGCCACCGGAGCCAATTCAGTTTACTGAGATACAGATGGGATGCAGTGCCAACATGGCTATGCTGCTTCCAGGAACTGATTTATCTCATTTGGAGTCCGCTGGGATACCTCTGCCTGGTGTCACATTGTACTGTTATCTGTTATGTAACTGTTAACAGAAAAGGGAAAAAGAAACTTCCTGTTGAGGGAGGATGCTGAAGAGAAGATGAGGAAGAGAAAAGAAAGGGAGACAAATCTGAAGAGTGTTGGCAGAATATTCTTATTCTATGGAGAGAAAAGGAACCTGAAAATTACAGTAAAGAATGAAAGAGGGGGAAGACACAGGACAAATTCTGGTGGGCCCAAGACTTAATAGGGAAAGGAAAAAGATTAAGAGTCAAATTATTTAGGAAAGCAGAAAAAGACTGAGATTGAGAGGAGAATGATTTTGTCAGATCCTTCAGTAAATCAGGAAATGTAAGAAGAGTGAAGAGGAAGGCTTAGGGAATCTTCCCAGAAAAAGGCTAGTAGAAACTTTACAGGTCTTTAGAGGCAAAAAGAAAGGGAGATTGATGGTAACTTGAAAAGTAAATGGGTTGAGATGGGGTTGTTTGAGAACAGAAGAAAGACCTCACATTATTCCATGCAGAGAACATAATTCTAGCAGACAGAGAATGGATGACGATGCAGTTAGAGAAGTCAGGATGATGTAGGATAGAAGGAGCCCATATAGATTTTGGAAAATAAAAGTAATTTGCATTTCTGAGTAAGAAGGTACTAAAGGAAGAGGTACTAAAAAGAACATTGCATCACATTAACAAGAGTCAATTTTCTCTTTTAATAATATACAAAAAGAGAAATACATTGATTTGGCAGATGACAGAACTCAGCAAAGAGAAGAACAACTTAATGTAATTTCTATTTGACATAAGAAATGGAGGGACAACAACTGAGAGAAAACAGCAGCCCTGAAGTTCAACACATTGTTAGAATCTGCTCAGATCCTTTACTATGATGGTAGCTAACTGTGTAAGACCTTAAAACTAAATCCCTCTGAAGCAGACAGCTTGCTTGCATGTCATTTTCAAAGCCTCAAAAAACCACCAAAATTGACAGTACAAGGAAAGAAAGAGCAATTCTTTTTTAAATAGCAGACACTGGAAGTCAGACATTCTTGTCTTGTTTTCATGAAATTAAAAAAGCAATTATTGAAAGATTCTTGATAAATACTCACCTCAAAGATTTTGCCTGCTTTAAGAAACTTCTAGCTTTTGCTACTTCTTGAGTAAGTTTCTTTAAATCATCTCCTTCAAAGTAAGGGAAAACTGGATCCTGAAAACAGAATTAAAACATTCTACTTTAACTTGCACCTATTTATTATTTTCAATTTCTACCAATTTAATTAACTGACCCTAAACTCTACATCTCCCTACTCCTATCTACTTGCAGAGAAGGTCTTGGTCTTACAAGGGGAGAGCAGAGCAACTCCGGATTGAATATGGTTCTGTTCACTAACGTATTTTTCTGCTGTGGCAAACCCCGAGGTCTCCTGCTGGACATTAACGTGCTGAACACCGTATAAGTATTTTACAATCAGATAAAGGAAATACACCATGGGAAGGATAAGAAGGCACAACAAAAGCTAAAGTTAGCTTAAAACCCACAGTGTCCAGATACAAGATTTTTTTTGCTTCTTTCAAAAACTATATTGCATTGTATACTTCTTTCAGGGGTTTGGTCACCTGACCAAGGCAGCTAGCAGAGAGGCAAAGCCAGATATTAAGATTTCTCCTTTCAGTTTCAGTGTGAAGTATCTTAGGATTCTTGTATTAATTTTTCTCATGATTTTTCTTTTTTAAATGTAGTTTGACTACTGATGAAGAACTAAGTTGAAATGAAACAAAACTAAACCCAATAAAACCAATCTATTTAACATACATCTTCATTATAAAGCCCCTCTGTCAACATTCTGTGTGCTGCTAATTGTCCATCCACATCTCCAAAACCGCAATGGTAGCGCCCTCCCGTTTGGGAAGCAAGCTTCTTCAGAAATTCATTAGCTCCTCTGTTAAAAACAAAGTAGTAAGTTACTTATGTAAATTATTTCTCTGAAAGCAACAACAACAGAAAAAGAATTTCTAAGAATTCCTCAAAAAATATTACACCAAAACAAATAGTTTGGAGGACATGATCATAAACTTCTGTATCATTTCTAATTGTCAATTGCTAACGAAGAACATACACTGCTTAGCTGTCATAACCTCCAAAACCAGGCTATTTTTGGACAAGAGGTTCAATGTAGCAATAGAACCAAAAAAAGAAACTGAACCAAGAAATCCAGAAGCCAGGCTGCCAGATAAAGGGCAGTAATATTTTACACAGGGGAAGAAAACCAAAAGCTGGGAGACTCCATAAAGGGAAAGAACATTTTGTGCATGCCTCATGCTTTATTCTCTTGCCTAAGCCTCTATTACTTGCCATTGTCCAATAAAAACCATTGGGATAACTGGTACAGTTGTAACCATATTCTTACTGCAAGTATGCTAAATCACACACTTTTACTGCCATTTATACATCATTTTAGAGTCCTGCCTCCCAAACACTAGCATTGCAAAGTCAAAAATAGTCATACGTCCATAAATTTCAAGTAAGCTGCAAGGATTAATTCCATTCTAGAACTGGACACTAAAATCTCCACAACTAACTAGGAGATTTCTTTGAAAGGAAGCAGTAGATTTTGCTTCAGAGTAACTTGTAGTCAGAAGTGACATCTTTCTCCCTTATTAGCAGATTTCCTTAACAGACAGTTACTGGCTACTGACCAGTTAACCAAATAATATGCAAATAAATTAACTCAAAATATTAATATAAATATTTTCATAAATACTTAAAGTTTGCTTTTCCAACTTAGAACCAATAATTCAAAGTTTATAGCACAAAGGAAGATATATAAAAGCAAAATAACAAAATAACACTCTCTTCCTGTCAAACCTCACTTCCAAAATCACAAAGACCAGAGACTATGTATCAAGAGGTCTACTGCTTCTCCCCTTAATGACTTGAAAAATTACATCCCAACTAACTGTTGTCTTTTGAAGGATTTAGCTTTAAGGTCTATTAGCTACCATAGCAGTATAGGATCTGGCTAATTTAATTTGGAGCAGTAACGGAGTTTTGAAGCAAATCCCCCAATTATTTTTGTCAACCACATGTTGGTTTGGCTCTCACAGTAGCTCTGTTGTGTGCAAACTATACTCCTTTAGTAGGAGACTAATCTAGAAACTCCAGTCCACATATGCTCTCAACATTTTATCAGGTATTAGTGTGGTTGTACTACCACATTCTCCAGTATACACCTAGCAGACATGCCCACAGATGACTCCTGAAACATCCAGAACTCTGAAAACACTCTGAAGCTCTATAGAATGGTCTAAGCATCGTGTGTGCCCTATTTTCTCATGACTATCAACTCTCAGACTTCCTTGAGATTCTGCTGGTCTTTCCTCATCCATCCTCACTCCTGCTTTGAAGTCTTTTGCGTTTCCTATGACGATATTTTCTGTTGCATGTTCACCTTCCTGAACATTTTATTTCTTTTGCTTTTTAATCTCTTTCTACAGCTCTGTTCCATTGTTTTTTCAGCAGGATGCAACCTGTTCAGCAGAAACAACACTGCTTGTCAGTTTGTGCTATGAGAGGGTCAAAAATTTCTCATGACAGCTGGATAACCGAACGGCATTATCCAGAAGTTATTAACCTCATGACTGCCACTGGGACAGGAGGGTTGGCAGGCGATGCTGCATTCAATTCAAGAATACAAAGGCTGAGTTCTTGAAGACCTGGAACAACTACTGCATTTTCAGGTGGCAGAGTGGACATGCACTTATTCTCGAAACCTTGAAGGGATTGTGGCCTCTTTGGCTATCTGCTCCCTGCGTCACGCAGCCACAGCCATGAATGAGAATCTAGAGGAGTGCATACTTTTTGATATTGTCCCATGGTCCCCAATTCTAGACTATGCAAAGATCCCTGAAAAGGAACATCCAGAGATATATCTTTAACCCACATCCCACCATGGCTGGCATTAGCACTTTCCTAGTGCTTCTGATTCTAGTCCAGGTAAGTGTATTGACTTTTTATGCCTCTGCAGGGATGTGTGTATGACAGACCTACAGGAAAGACCTCAGTGCTGCAGCCTAGTGATGCGTATCACTTTTCTGTGTGCGTGAAGGCAACCCTCCAAGGACATAAGCTGTGGGAGATGTAGGCCTTGTGGCAATTACCTGTGTCAGAACAGCCTTTCCAGTTCCCACATGTATGAATGTCTAGCTCAATCCTGGTGTTCAGTGAACTGAGCACGTGGCACATTTTAATAACACAGTCTTTTGACAATAAACTAACTAGTAATTTTAAATATTTTTTTGTTGTTGTTCTTGCAAAGTATCATATACCTGTCTGTACAGCTAAAAGAAATGGTGTGGATTTTAATATCTTGTTTCTTTCTCAGTCTTTCAATTTCTTCCAAAATCAGACTGCAACTGGTGTCTGGTTTTCCATCAGTCAATACATACAGTGCCTCTATACCTTGGAAACTGAGAGCCTTCTGAAAAGCAGAAAATAACTTAAATAATTAATACATTTATATGAAAACACTATTCCAATGATTTAAGATAGCTTTATATTTACCACATCATTAATCAAGTTAGTATTGTCTTTTCCTTTTCACTAAGTATGAAAGAGATCAAGGACATAAATTTGAAAAATAAACAAGTAGATAATTTGTAGCATAAGGCAATATATTCATAATCAGGGCATCACCAAAAACTGACTCACTCAGCAAATTAACTGATTTTGGAGAACTGCTGTCAGAAGATTTTTACATTACATTTTGTGGGAGTCAAAGATGCTTAATGTCTGAAAATAAGGCTCAGTAGGACTTGGCCTTTTTATATTATGAAAACTTGCTACGGTAATTGACTCAGTGGACATTATGCCTTATAGTTCTACTGGACTTGATTCACCATGAATCCCATAAAATTTATAAGGAGATTCTGCAAGGGTGTCTAGAGCAAGAATCATTCATTAAAGGCAACATTTCTTTTTTGATTTAAATTTTAAATCTCATGAAATTGCAAGTTTTTTCAGTTTCTGTTTAAATTATTATTAGTAGTTAATTTCTACACTAAGAATTTTTATAGAGGAAAAGTTTCTTCACCTGTTACTAAAGTTCAAGACTTGTACTCAATGCCCATGTGATTCCAACAAACACTGCTTTTTTAAAATCTCTATTTGGCTCAGAGCAAGTATATCACAGCCGCAGTTGTACATAAGCATCATTTGGAGCAACGGGCTATTTTTTCTCTCCAGAATTCTTTGAACACAAATATTAATGCAACTATTGATATTTCACATTTTTCTTAAACTCAGTATGAGCAATGAATTGTAGTATCTATGAGCCCTGGGGACAGGAACAGTGGCTTGATTCCAGATCTGTTCAATGTTTTGCATATAAAAATGTTGTATGCTTTGACCAAATAATTTTCCTAAAACATTATCAGTCAGATGGAAGTGTTTTATCACCACAAGACATGATGTCTTCTCCAAAATGTGGTACGCAATTTACTTACCTGTAAAGCCATAAGGATGCATGTATTACCATGAGCGTGGAATTTGGACACCCACTGCACAGCATCATGACACGTTTCATCAGTTGCTTCTACAAGACACTCCTTCCAACTCTCTGTTTTTTCTGCAAATCTCAGCAGGTTAAACCTAAGGAGGAAGATGGCCCACAACATTTAACCCAACCAATACTATCAGTCACTTTGGATAAGCCAGTTTTGAAACAAATAAAAAACCCAAACCAAACCCAATTAAAAAAAACACAAAAACAACCCCCCCCCAAAAAAAAACCAAAACAGAAAACCAAAACCAAGAGCCTAATATTGGAACAAGGTCTTCAGCTTTGGAAGAGTCAGAAAGCAAATCTCACTCTGCATGAACAGAAAATCTATGGAAATGCTGAGCCCAAAAGGATAAACAGCATCAGCCTACGGCAAACGAGGCTCAAATCTTAGAGAGCTGAGAATTAAAAGTTGGTTAAAAAGAACAGAAGGAGCAGTTCATGTCACATGCATATTATGCACTAACATATAATAATTACTTGTATTGTGTTTCAGTACCGTATTATTTGTAATTATTAAGTAATCTTATTACATAATAATTAGTGCAGATTTCAGTCTTTATCAGTAGTTCATCATACCTGACTTCATTTTTTCTCAGCTGTTCCCAGATAAGGGAGGCAAGTTCTTTTGCGATATGTGGCAAATATGGGTCCATGGAACCAGATGTATCAATCAAAACACAGACATTTGCTTCTAAAATGGTACCAAACAATCTTCGGCTTCCTGGGCCAGAACATTAAAACTAATTAAGTGTCATTACATAAGCTATTTTATTGAACATATGATTTTATTGAGCACACTGTAAAATCTTCAGTCTTTAGGGGTTATTCTGGGCACATTTCTGCATAATAAATTCTAATCTGTGTGGAAAGTAGGTAGTTCAAAGGTTAATAATAGAAAAGTCTTCTGCCATTTCAAGTGTAGCACAATCAAACATTAATTACTAGCCAATTATAGCAACTTGCATTAAACAATTTGTAGCTCCTACTTTACAATCCAGCTAAAAATTAAACTGTTTCCCAACAAAGATCTTTATGAGCAACAGAGGGATCAAAATACTTTTCACCACCAGAACTTCTAAATAGGGCACACTCTTAGCAAAAGAAACAGAAAAGCTAATTTTGCTTGTATATGTTATTGTATATATTCTGTTGACAGAAAGCTTCCGACACCAGGAACCTTGTATTCATGAACACAACATACAAAAAGGAAAAACTTACATCACAGCCCTAATTATTTCACAGCAAGCTAGATGTTTATCATCTATACAGATGCTGAATTATCTTGTTATCTTATTTTATTGTCGTAAAAATACTTCTCAAAATTTCAATGAAATACAAAACAGATGACCTTTATTCATACAGGCTGGATCGATGGGCTGAGGCC